TTTGAGAACGTTGCTACTGAGAACAAACCAACTATTATTCCTATGGCATCTTTATCACAATGGTCCATGCAAGACTAATTCAACATAGCCAAAGAAACGCAACTCCCCTCCCCACATTCCCACACTGCTCTCTCCCTCCAGATGAAGTCCCAGAAGCAGGCATCTTGCAGCCTTGTGGCCCCTTTTCAAGGGACTCCAATTATACAGGAAAGAAATGGGCACAAGTTGTGAAACTGGAACAGGTGTCCTAGCCTCAGGGTATGGGTCAAAAGATTCACTGGAAAAAGTCATCTTCTACCACCATCTATCTATTTTAGAGTCGGACTCCTCAGATGAGGAACCACCACCGATTCTGAACGCCAACGGCTTCTGCAAACTATGAGCCATAGAGACGCACTATTGCAGAACTCCTGCAGCCTTCCCCCCACAAACCCTACAACACATAGAATAAAAGCTTCTCATCTCCATCTTTAAGGAGGAGGGAAAAGGGCACCCAGTTAGTCTGGGTCCAATGAGAAGACTGGTGGGACAATTCGGGGGGGCAGCGCCTTGAAGACAGAGGAGCAGCCTGAACGTGCTTGCCAGTGAAAGATGCAGGACACTGAAATGGGGAAGCAAGGAGTGAAATGATCACAGGCCACAAGCCGAAGAGGCAAGAAGTTCACTATAAAGAACTTAATATGCAGCCCGAGCTTTCCTGGATTCACAGGATTTGCGGTTCTTCCACGCTGCATCCCTTTATAGCATAAGCACTTTGCATGTCAAGAGCGCTCAATCATTTGTAAAGTTCAACTCCCTCCATCAGGATGCCAACAAAAACACCGACACCCATCAGGGCTGCTGATGTGCTAAAACCAATGCCGATGATGCTGACTAATCCAGTCTCTTAGTATTCCTCCCACCTGGCTGCACCCATCTGATCTTTCTGGTCTTCCCCTTTGATTACAAGCTCTTTGCTGCTGGCACTGGGTTTTTGGTTTTTTTATGGTGCATTTATGCTGCTCCAAGCAAAGAAGAGCCATGATCCAGGACTGGGGCTCCTATGTTATTTGTATTACCAAAGCTCCAAAAAAGCCATTTATAAGTGAAAATCATCCTACCCTACAGACAGGCATGGACAGCCAGAGTTTAAGCAGCTTTCCTCCAAGGGACACAGCAAGCTAGCAGCAATCAGGAATAAGCCAAACAAATCCTGACCTCCATGCATTCGGTAACATCTCTGCACCACAGCCACTTCCTTCTTCTTTAGCTTGTCCACTTTAGTTATTTGTCCTCAGCTACAGCCCCCTTAGTTACTCAGCCAAGCTTCATCTCTTCCAGTCTGAAGAGCAGTCATTCTTTCTAACCCCCCGGTTGAATGATTTACTTCCATGTCTGTGATGAGATTCTTACTGGACATATCTGCATATGATTTAAATAATTATCCCAACAGCTATCCTCAATACAAACTTCATTTGACAAATTTCACTCACCTTGGTTTCAAGTAGTAGGAGGCTGTTTATGCAATCTTGAAACAGAAAACTGACTCTGTTCTGCTCTTCTATAGCTTTTAGTGGATCAAATTATTCAAGCTGGATTTCATAATGTAAACATATGATATTGAAATTCAAACATTCAGAGCTGAGCTAGTATCAGCCATTCAGGTGATTCCTCTCAGTCACAGGATGAATGAGAGGCCAACAGCAGCACAACAATCAGCAGTTTATACGTGCAGAATTAAAAAAAAACAAACCAAAAACCAACAGAAAAACCCCCCCCTTAACCCTAAGCTTTTTTTTTTTTTTTTTTTTTTAAAGAAAGGAATAAACCAACTGATCCATTTGCTGAAACACCACAGCTCCTGTAATCCTAATCTTATGACATTAATTAAAATGTCTGTGGCAATACACTAATTTCAAGCACTGGGATCCTAGGACAGACAAAAGCAAGGTACAAAAGAGGAGCTTGTTTGTATTTTACGAACCGTCAGAAAACTGGAAGCTGCATCCAGAGATTTTTGGCAAAAGGCAGTGGACACAACAGCTTCTTCTCTCCGTGCTCCGAGTCCCAAATGCACAACTTCTCCCCCTTATAATGGACAGAGAAGTCCAGCTCCCTCCCCACTGATTTCAGAAGCCGCCACCTGCTCTTTCAGAGCTGGAACGTTTGCTGGATTCACAACCCCATGGATTAGACTGCTAACCAGCATGAAAAAATACATGGTCCACCAGGTCCATCACCCCACAGCAGCATCCACAGGACTTCAAAGCAGAAAGATAGTTGTACAATTAGGTGCTGCGAGCGTAAGAGTGCCAGATCTATTTAATAATAGAGTATGTTACTTCATGCCCGTTTTTCTTCCCCTCCCTTGGTGCACCTCATTCTCTCATCTTTCCTACCAAGCATGTTTTGGGGGTTCATAACTAATTCTTTTCCCTCCCTCTCCCTATCCAAACACTATGCAGTCTCCTTCTTCCTCCAACCCTTTACTGCCTCTTCCCCTCCTTCTCACACATCCTCTTAGTGCCTATTTATTCCCCATGTCTTCTGCACCCACGCTCTGCCCCCTGCTCTCCTTTTGCAAAAGGAGCAATAGCTCAGAGTCATAACACTACACCAGTCACTACCCCCTGCCTTCATCCGTGGGATGATTAGATGCTCTGTTCCCTATTTTTATCCCCTTCTTCTGCAGGCAATGGCTCCCCTACAGCCCCTCAGGCCACCCTATGCTTCCACAAGCCTCAAACAAGAAGTTTCTCCCAGCTGAACGTTTTGGGCTCCTCTACAGAGGTGAACAAGCAACCAGCCCTCTCTGCTTCTCTTCCCACATCTAGCACTTGCCTCCAATAGTCTCAGTGTCCAGCTACAGGAGGGACAGAGATGCCCGTCTTCTGCAGGTCTTAAGCAGCTTCGGTCTCTGCAGGGTAGGTGAGGTTAGCCGAATGGTTCTCCGTTCCCTTTCCCCAGGCTGCTTAATGCCGCCACCCTCCTTAGTTACTATTTAACCCTTTCACCAGGCAAGGCCGCTTGGGACGCAGCACGCACCATGCCTGAGGGAGCAGTTCTTGCCTGGCAGAGCCTGATTCCCAGCCCACAACCAAGCGTCTAAAACAAGCCCCTCAGGTGCACCAGCCTGCTCGACCGGAGCCCGAGCAAGACAAGCTCGGCCCAACACGCCTACACAGGGCCCCGTCACACCTGGATCAGAGGAAGCCAGCCCTCTACTTGCAGCTCAGGCTACACAGCTCGGTTCTGTCGGTCTGCAAGGTGCAAACCTACATGGCCCCCAGACTAACACAGACCTCTCCTTGGCAGTGACTTCTCCGCCTCCCTGGCTAGGCCCAGCCATCTCCTAACTGGAAAAAGGAGACAACAAATCCCCCTCCCCAAACTGCCGGGGCCAAGTGGCTTCTGCTTGACTGACGAGCAAGGTCAGGTAATTAGCATGATGATAATAGTAATAATCATAGTGATACCCATCAGAAGATAAAGATACTAATGACAAACAAAGTAATGAGACTATTGATACTAATAAAATAACAATATTAATACCCCCCTCCCCCCCACCATCACTGGGCACTAATACCCACCCCCT